GGGCCAGGCTGAGGCTCAGGGATGAAGGCGGGTGATGGATGCGTGGACAGTCCCTGTTGCTCTGCAGCTTGCTGCATTTAGCCGTGTTTGTCTACGCCACATTCCTCTGTTGAAGTTTGGTGGCACGAGGCCGTGACATGCAGGGAAAACTGTAGATAGAGCAGCCAGTGTGACTCCAGTATCACAGCGGCTGAGCTTCCCTGACTCCCATGTGTTCAAACTAATTGTGTTACAGAAGCACACGTGTTATCAGAGCAGGGCAGTGAAAATTAACTGAGATAATGTAGGGAAAGCACGTGGCACAGTGTGTACACAGAGCTCAATAAATGTTTGCTGGTAATAATAAAAATAATAATATATGCCAGTTTTCCATACATACCCTTTGGTCCCTCGAACATATGCGGGGCATCTGTCCAGATCTGTTGGTTTTGGGGCCACGGCCTTGGCCGGCCCCACCCTCTCCATGCATAGGCATGTCCAAAAGTTTCATGGCACAGACCGTGTCTCATCTTGGACCACGCACTGCTCCAGTCACAATCAGAGCTAATTTAACAGACTATCCTATGAGATCAGTAAACTCTGTTCAACTCTGCCATGTTTTGAGGTCTTTTTAAAATTTTTTTCTGCCTTTCCCCCAGGCCAAAAATTCACCACAGCACGTCAGAAAAGCTTTGAACCGACTGGTTTCCAAAATGTGCTCTCCGGGTTGTACAGCCCCGTCGTGTTCTCGGCCTCAGGAGCCGATCTGACTGACGCTCACCTCTTCTGTCTTCTTGCGTGTGACGGTGATTCCTGCTGCGATGGCTTCATCCTCACGCAGGTCCAAGGAGGTAACGCTGGCGGTGAGGGCCTGGGCCTAATGAGGGACGGGGAGAAGCTGGGATGCAGAAGCCGGGATGCACAACAGGGGGCTGCATGGGGCACTGCAGCATGAGGCGACCACGCCCAGACTGAAGGTGGTGTTCGCATGCACAGAGTCAGGGCAGACTCCGACCCTCTCTCCTGTCACATACTGTGCTGGCCAATTCCATCCTGACACTGGTTTGTTCCTTACTGTTGTCTTCAGGGGAAGTAAACAGCTAAACTGAGGCACAGGGAATTGCAATCATTTGCTCATGGTCATATAGCTCGCAAAATGACAGAGCTGGGATTCGACCCGAGTTGTGTCTTCGCAGCATCTTACTGCCACCTGTGTGCAGCCTGGACTGGCCACATTTGGTCAAAAAATGTTAGCTGGGCTCTGTCTCCACCCATGCACAGAGAAGACCATGTGAGGACACAGTGAGGAGGCGGCTGTCCGCAAGCCGGAAAGAGAGGTCTCACCAGAAACCAACCCTGATGGCACCTTGATCTTGGATTTCTAGCCTCCGGACTTGTGAGAAAATAAATTTCTGTTTTTTAAGCCACACATTCTGTGGTTTGCTATGGCAGCCCTAGGAAACTAATATACATACCTAGGTATATACCAAAGAGAACTGAAAACATACATTCACACACACATTTGTATATGAATGCTTAAGGTAGCATTATTTATAATGGCCAAAAAGTGGAAACAACCTATCTCAGTTTTTTTGTGCTGCTATAAAAAAATACCACAGGCTGAGTAATTTATAAACAACAGAAATTTATTTCTCACAGTTCTGGAGGCTGGGAAGTCCAAGGTGAGGGCACCAGCTGGTCTAGTGTCCGGTGAGGGCTGGTTTCTGCTTCCAGGGTGGTGTCTTATTGCTATGTCCTTACATGGCAGAGGGCGAAAGACCATAAAGGGGTCTAGCTAGTCCCCGCCAGCCCTTTTATTAAACCCATTCATGAGGACAGAGCCCTCATGGCCTAATCATTTCCTAAAGACCCTACTTCTTAATACTACTGCATTGGGGATTAAGTTTAACAAGAATTTTGGAGAGGACACAAACACTCAAACCATAGCAGTACAACCCAGTATATTTCATTGGATGAATGGATAAACAAAACGTGGAAAATAAATGTTAGCTGATTCCTCTTGCCCACAACCATTCGCTCAGTGATTATCTATTGAGTGCCACTGCATGCCAGGTCCTGTGAACAATAGGACTGTCATTTTCAACAGTCTCTCAGCAGTGGGAAGCACTTCTGCTTCTAGAAATATACCCATGTACATGGCAGTGTAGCCTAGTGGTTGAGAAAGGACTTTGATGTCATAGACCTGGGTTCTGGTCACTGCTCTGTCATTTTTGGCTGTGTAATCTTGGACAAGTTGCAGTTCCCTTGTTCATAAAATGAAGATAATGACACTTCCTATTC